GAAACAGCTGACCTCAGGCTTTCATAGAGGTCAACTAAGAGCAGTTCACTTAGGCACACTTTTCGATTTTCATGCAAGTCCCTAGCTAGAGGAATGAACCTACTAGCTACCTGTAGGGATCTACTGCAGAAAACGTATCTTGACAGCCACAGGGTTAAGAAAGCAATGTGCTCTACGTCAGACACATTGTCCCCCTCAGCATGGTAATGACTGATAAATTTGGAAAAACTGGCTAGCTTGACTTCGAAGTCAATTATGCTTGAGTGCTCTTCGTTGTCGGGTATATAAGTTTCTCCCACTGGCAATAGCCCAGTGATGGCCGCTATGTCGAAGAAGGTTGGGGTGATCATTCCACCTGGGAGATGGAAAGTGTTATAGGTACTGTCCCAGAAATAAAGGGACGCAAATAGCAGAGGGTGGCTGTAGGTGAAACCAGACTTCGATAGCTTAATCAGGTTATAGATGCCTAATTCTTCCCATTGCTGGGATTTCTTAGCTTCTACTTTCGTGAACCAATTTTGATAAGCAATATCAGAGGTGGGGCAAGATCGAAATGGCTTAAAATTACTTTTTACATAATCCAAAACAAAGGGGTCCTTAGGAGGAACAGTTGGGGTTTCTATGGTATTTGAACTAGGAGATTCTACTGCCTTAGGGGCGTCCATTTTGTTAAATAAGGGTTTGAAGCTATAACAAACTGGGAAAATCGTCCTGGTGTCTTTTAATATTTCAAAAACCGTAAGAGGGCCATTTAAAGCTAACCTCTTACCAGCAACGTTGGTAGGAATGAGTACCTGTGACGCATACAACATTTCTTTTTCTTTTGAAATCATCTGAGGGGCAAGAGCGGATTGACCTTGGAGAGTGATGATTTTACTTTCCATGGTAGCTCCTGCAGTTTTTCCTTTCTTCTTGGAGACTTTCTTGAGTTGGGATGAAGTAGAAGAAGACATTTTTGAAAGATGTTGAAAGCTTGGATTGTTTTACGAGAGAAAGAGGGTAAAAGATTTAGAGTGTGAAAGATTTAGAGTGTGAAAAGAAAAGAAGAAGATTAAGTTGATGTTTTATAATGGGGAAGTTTAAGCATCCACCGAATAAAGGTGTGATACGTGGAGATCATGGGTTGGTGTGATGAAGAGGTGGCGTAAAGTTAACATGGGTAATAGGCGTGATTTAAAGATAATCATTATTTGTAACTGCACCACGCTGTGAAGTGGCTCCAGGCGGTTAAGGAATCCAAAAGGTGCTATGATTGACGTGACTGGAGTCAAATGCATTAAATGTTACGATGATTCGAAAGTCCCATCAAAATCTTGTGTAGGTGTTTAAAATAGGTATTTCTCAGAGGAATCGAAATACATATTTTAAAGGGGCAATTTGTTGGCTGAAGATTTTGATAATGTTATTAGAAGCCAAATGAATTAAACGTTTTGATCGAAATGAGGTAAAGCGTCATGTTTCGAAGTAGCAGAAGCAGTGTTTCGAATAAGTGTGTCAAAGCTTGGAGCTTCGAGTGGCAATTATGGGAACATATCTAAAGAAGTCTCGAAATAACAACAAGGCTGTGTCTGGGAAGAGCGTTCGAAACGGAGAAGCACCAAAGCATTTGAAATTCAAATGGAAGCGGGACTTTCGAAGTTTGAAAGTTATGTGTTGGAGCATTTGGGGACACGTGGAAAGATGAAAGAGGCATTGTCCTGCATGTTCTAAACGTGGCATAATCCTATAGCAAGACCGTTATGGTCGAATTAGTATAAATAGAAGTCTTAGTATTAGGATTTCGTGTGTCATATCTATTATACAAAATACTCAGTAACATTCAAACTACCACATGGCAAGGGAAACGAATGCAAGAGAAATGTATGTATGATAGCACCATGTATTTCTGATTTAATGAAAACCTTTTACCATTTCCAGTACTTTCCTTTATCCCTTTTGTCAAATAACATTTACAAGTTTTCTTATTTACAGTCTTTTCACTTCGAAATCTCTTCTTCAAAGTTTTACATTTTAATGTTTTCTTCATATTTCAAGCACTTTATATCTCAGAAAACTGTCATATTTTCCATACCTTTACCTTCAAGCCTTAAAGTCAGACCTTTTACGTTCCATAAATCCTTTATATTAATTGTTTTATAAGTCGAAACCATTTACTTCACTTTTATGCAGTTTTACATGTCTTTACAATTAGCATTACAATTAGCATTTATTCATGTAACTTAGTTTTCACACACATTTTGATCACATCTTTAGACTTTTAGAGAGAGAAATCGAAATAAGCCAAACACATATACAATATCAACCATGAATATCTGTTCGATCGTGAGAGTAACCTTAATATCCAAGGAGTCCTAGGATCAATCTAGTCGATCCTGTGAGTTACCAGAGGAATTGAATAACAGTCAGAAAGATTATTCGATAGTTTGGAAGACTAGCGGTTGTTTACCAGAAATCACTGGAAACACCCTCGAGGCAACATTTCTATGTTGGACTTCATGGCCATGATCCTTGTTGCCCCTTGAGGCAACATTTCTTATGCTAGACTTCATAGCAAGATTCTTGCTGCCCCTTAAGGAAACATTTCTTACGCTGGACTTTATGGCAAAGATCCTTGCCACCCCTTAGAGGCAATACTTTATATGCTATACTTCATGAAGAATATCCTTGCCGCCCTATAGAGCGATATGAATAGACTAACTAAACTCTCGCCTGAGGGACTTAGTGTCTCCTCTGGCGGTATCATACTCAAGAATCAAGCCTAAGAGGTGCTACAAATATCCATCTCAAGACACTTGATCACAATGTTGCTTGAGAGGTCGATGGAAGTACCACCCAAGAAGGTTAAACGCCTCACCCGAGGGACTTATAGAAACTATGACAGAAACAACTCAATTTGAGGTGGATTTTTCTACCATGGACACTAGCAGTAGTGAGGTAACAATTACACATGTCTCTGATTATGATTGTACCATATCAAATGAACGTTTATGCTGGCCTTGGATGTTACGCTTTAAATGTGGCTGAAGGGTTGCAAAACTCAGAAACAAAGACCTTTAGAGGTGCATTCGAAAGTAGACAAAGTAAAAAAATGGTTGACAAATATTGTTTGTGGGCTTGTTAGACTATCAAATCAGAAAAAGATGGTTGGAAATAAGTGAATGCAAGTGACGAGATCAAAGTTCAAGGATGGCTTGAACTTGATCAAAGTTGTTGAATAATGTTTCAACATGTACATACCAACAAGGAGATTAATGGATAAATTGACATCTCCGCAGTTTCAAGTCAAGGTAGAGTTTGTAAAACTATGCCTTAAACCTTTAATATGTTAAGGGAAATAAGTTATATATCGAGATTGCCAGAAATTAGGAAGCCAAAAAACATCCTGGTCCAGACGGTTCGTGGGACCAGATTTGGCCGGTTCGGTTCGTGGATCCTTTCATTAATGTTTGAATATTTATATTAATTTAGAGATACTCTAAATTATTATTATAGATATCATAAGATATTTTGTAGATTATTGTGTTGTTTTAGACCATTTATTTGGTTGTCGTTATTTTTTGTCTCCACACATTAAATTTTTAGGTGTGTATGAACTCTAAATATCCTTTTCTACAAAAGTAATACTATATAGTAAAAATCATTTAAATAAGAAAGACAAGAATGTATACTTGTCATTGTTTTATAGGCTAATCTTAAATTTATTTTAAATTTAATTTCTTTTTTAATAGAAATCATTAGATAGTTATAATAATGAATGATTGAGATTTGATTCTCATCTTTCTTGCTTTCATACAGTCTTATTAATAAACATTTTCCTTTCTATAATTAGGTTATAAAATGACAACAAGACACACTCTTCGAATTTCCCCTTAAAATCTTCAAACTTTATACTATCCTATTTTCATATTCTAATTCATCCTCTAACATACCGCCCAATCCTCTTCACCCTATATGACCTTCCATTCCTTAGTAAAGATTAACCTTCCCGCTACTACCACCATCTTTCCCTCCCTCATATTATAAAACATCATACAACAGAAGTTTTGTCGCTTCTTTAATAAATTCTCAACTCTACTGTCTTCCAATTTTAGTGATCCTTATAAACAGGTTAATGTTTTGGAGTTCATCTATATCAACATTATAATTTTTTTATATGTAAAATAAGTGATAGTAATCACTAAAAATTCTCACACACAATCATGAAATCATGAGTTAAAATTCAAATAAAGACATCAAAGTTAATAATATTGAATTTTGTAGGTTTAACTAAAATTTGACGACTCTAACATCACTTCTTTAATTTAAGATGTATAGGTTTGATAAAATAAAACTTCGGTTTTTAAATACTTTTGAATCTTTTAATTAATATTTGCTATTTGTGAATGTTTTTTTTAGCACTAATCATATTTTGAAAAAAAACACAAATAATCATGTTTTGGAAAAAATTATGTAAATAATCATGTTTCGAAGAAAATTACACAAATAAATATGTTTCCAAAATAAAAAGTGAATTAAAGAGGAGACTCCACTTAAATTGACGGTTCCTATATATTTTTCAAACTTTTACAGTTACTTGCAGATTTTTCTACGGAATTACATGCGGAAGAATAAAAAATCCGTAGATAAATAAAAAAAATAGAAAAAAAAAATAAGATGGCTAAGCGACAGTTACTTCCATTATAATATTTTTGGACTCATTTGTGTAAATTTTTCAAAAACATAATTATTTATGTTTTTTTTTTTCAAAACATAATTATTGTTAAAAAAATTTCACCATTTATTAGCAATATTTATCATTCTTTAATAAATAAATAAATAAATAATAATATAATAGTAATAATAATAAAATTTAACCAATAGACCAGAATTTTTTTTTTCCTAAACGATTGTCAATCATCAATCAAACCCCATTTCCTGTTAGAAAAAAAGAAGAATTACACCCACTCCCTCAGCACGTGCGCTCTCCCCGTCTCTCTCTTTGTTCTCCAGCACGCCTTCTCCTTCTCCCTCTCTCTCTCTCTCTCTAAAAACGTTCCCTGCTATTATAAAAAAAAAAACGCAACCTGTTATTCCTTCTGGTTCCTTCCTTGCCTCTCTCGCTCTCTCCTTTTTTTTCCTGAAAAAAAGGTCAGAGAGGGAGAGAGAGAGAGAGCGCCGCACACACCGTAACTATCATGTGACACCGTCACATTCAATCATCCAATGCACCCTTACAACCGGCTACCGTCCAGTGGCCACTCCTCGCCGTCTCCTCCCGCCTCGCCTCTCCGTTCACCTCGTCTCCGTCACACCCGCTCAAAAACCGGCCGGTTCTCTCCGTCCCAACCTGCTCCACGAACCTACGCTCAACGCCTCGCTTGGATTTTCCTCTCGGTTCTCCTCCGTCGTCAAGGCATTTTCCTCTTTGCGCCTCTTATATATATCTCCGGTATGCTTCTCTACTTCGGGACGTTCTCGTTCGATGTTGTTCCGATCATTAAGCACCGTCCGGCTCCTGGTTCTCTCTACCGGAGTCCTCAACTCTATGCTAAGCTTCGACACGAAATGGATGCGGATAATTCTTCAGCCGATGCGGTTCGTTTTTAATTTCTTTTGGATTTTATTTTTTCTGGATTTCGTTGGTTGTTTATTTTTATTTCCATGGTGAAGAATGAAGATCTCGTGCTTTAGGCACTAATTGGGGATAAATGAGGGTAAATGGAAATGTGAAATTTGTCATGTATTGTTAGGGGGAGACTTTTATTTAGATGGATAGAATAGAGGATAGATGAATAGATTGTTGGTTGTTATTTGATTTCTGGTGAAATTTGAATATTGAGGATCTTGTTGTGATTGGGATCTCAATATATAGGCTTAATGCAATTGTTCTAATCTTTATTTTATATTTGAGCTGTACTAAATCAACTCTTTGTCTGATGAATTTGTTGTAAATTGTGATTTGTGGAACAATAGCGATTTGTCATTTCTAATTCTAATTTTGTCCTGTCTGGTTTTAATTCAGGAACAATAGCGATTTGTTTAAATTCTGCTATGCTGGAGCAGCTTTTTTAACAATTCTACTATGATCCACTGTACAACTTATATGTTTATATATGGCTTTACTAACCTTTTTGTTTTGCATGTCAACTAAGTTGTTCATGCCATGTTATTTATTTATTTTTTGTTATTCTCTGGTTTTTGGTCGAGTTCTGATGGCTTGATAATGGAATTTTGCTAGTCAAATTGTTTGATGAGTCTGGATCTATTGGTACCGTATTGTACATTAAAATGTGGTTGTAGAAGCAAAATGATTTCAAACGCTCTCCTGTTTCCTGTATATGACATAATGTTGCATTAGCTAGTAGAAAAACGTTTCTTGTAACCCTCTTAATAGAGAGCTATAATCGATAATGCACTCGCGTGTAGTTCTAGGTATTGATAATATGGTGGTAAAGATATAGGGGCTTGTTGTTTGAGAAACCTTTGCTTGTGTATTGGTTGACCTGTTATATGGAGATGTAGCTGGTGGTAAAGATTTTGGCCACATTGATGCGTAGAATCTTGGTCATTATTTAAATTTTTATGATTACAAAGGAGGTCCTAACTCTTAATAGAAAAGGTCAGGCTAAGTATCATACGAATATGATATGAGTGTGTGTGTGTTAACAATTAGGTCTGCTGTTAGAGGAGCAGAGTTCCTCTTAAGAATTGAAAGAAAGGAAAAGGATTTTGTATTCAATTTCAGGATACTGTGAATGGAGCTACTAGCTCACTTAAATACAAAGCAAATAACGAAAATATTCCTTAAATCCCTTAACAAGTGGAAAATCTAACAAACTTATAATGACTCATCAATCTTCTAGATCCTTTCTCCACTAACTGACAAAATAGTCACATAGTCTTCCAACCTTTTTGGGGCCTTGATTATTCTCTTTGCTCTTGGGCTTGGTACTGGATCTATCTCCTCTTCAATTATTGGGCTTTGGTCATTATTTATGGGCCCAGCCGTATCAATACTCCACCAACAAAATCAACCTTGTCCTCAAGGTTGTAGTCACGACACAGATTCGGCCAATGTTCCCACGACACATCATCTGGCAACAGTCCCATCCATTGAATCAAGGCAAAACGAGTGGAAATGCCATCAACTAACTGTGTCTGAAATTCTAACACAGCCAAAGGTGTTACCACAGGGTGATTATCAACTACATCCTGGGGAAGCTGGTCAATCGCTACAGGAGGTGATCCCACATGCGGTTTCAACAATGAAGAGTGAAAGACATTGTGAATTTGCGAATGAGCAGGCATATCAAACTTATATGCTACAGGTCCCACTTGAGCTATAACTTGATAAAGGCCATAGTACCTCTTGGAAAGCTTATGGAATTTGGACTTCGAGACTGACAGCTGCCTGTAAGGCTGTAATTTCACATACACCCATGAGCCAACTGGAAAAGTGACCGTACGACGGTGTTTATCTGCGTTGCTTTTCATGTGCAGCTGAGCTTTAGTTAAGTTCTTGCGCAATAAATTCAGAATCTCCTCACGGGAATTCAAAACAGAGTCACAAGCATCAATTGGTGACGAACCCGGAATATAAGATGGGATAGAAGGTTTTTTTTTCCATACATCACCTGAAAGGGAGATAAACCAGAGGCAGTATGAACTGAAGTATTATAGTGGTATTCCACCCAAGGGAGTAAAGTTACCCACTGTGATGGCTTAGCATGTACAAATGCTCTCAAGTATTGTTCCACTGTGCGATTCATAACCTCGGTTTGGCCATCCGTCTGAGGGTGATAAGCGGAGCTCATCCGGAGTAAAGTGCCACTGAAGGTAAAAAGATCCTTCCAAAAGCGACTGATGAAAACCAGATCCCGATCCGAAATGATACTCTTGGGATGACCATGATGCTTGCAGACAATGGAAACAAACAATTCCGCAACCTTGTACGCCGTGAATCCTGAAGCCAATGAACCCAAATGAATGACCTTAGAAAATCGTCAACGACCACCAAGATCACTGTACAACCCTTAGATGGAGGTAAGCCCGTAATAAATCCATGGAGATATCTTCCCAAATATGTTGGAGAATGGGAAGAGGCTGCAACAACCCCCTGGTTTCTGAGTAGAATACTTCGTCTGTTGACAAATGAGGCACTTGCGAATGAAATCTTGCGCTTCCTGTTTCATATGATCCCAATAAAAATTCTAAGATAGTCTCTTCATAGTTTTGGATAATCCAGCATGGCCACCAATTAAGGTCTCATGATATTCTTGTAACAGCAGTTCCTTAACACGAGAGGAGGAACTAATCCAAATTCTGCCACGATAGAGTAACGACCCGTCAACAATTCTGAAATCCGGATTACTCAAGGGGTCCCATGTGAGTTGTTCCTTCAACAACAAGAATTCTGGATCCGAGACCATTTCCTGTTTTAATTCTTCCAAGAATAACACGCGAGGAACAGTTAACTGAAGGAAACTGGAACAATCTGAATCCGGGATACAGGAAAGAGCATCAGCAGCGATGTTAGCGGAACCAGGTTTGTATTGAATGGCGCGAGAATTGTTCGTCACAATTAAAACATAACCCCTTTACCCTTCTTTCCGCTAATTCCGCTGCTGATAATTGTCGAAAACGGGTTTTGGAGGGCGGAGTGGGGAGTAGTGGTGGTGCACTTGGCTTGCTCGAGGGAAAATCCGGTGTAGATTTTGCCGGAATTGGAGAAATCGTGTGTCGAACTTGACCCATGCCAAGGTGAGAAGGATCTGGGTTTTGTCAAACGTAGTAAATTCTGGATTTTCTCTTCATGCAATCTAGCGAATCCTGAAGCCTGGGAAAGAGACGAAGGTTGCTGTGCGAGAACTTCACGGCGGATCTCCGGTTTCAACCCAGAGATAAAACAGCTTAAGAGATCTGGCGGAGAGAGTCCCACGATACGGTTTGCTACTTGCTGAAGCTTGAACAGTTTTCCCCTTGGGTCGTCGTACTCCGTCGGTGCGAAACGAAGCTCCAGAGCTTGCAGAAATTGGTTCCACGAAACGATCTGTCCGTTGCTATACATCCATTGATATCACGCTAAAGTCGGACCGTCGAGGTAAAAGGAGGCGACTGTGATGCGTTTTTCCTCCGGTGTTTGGTGATAAAGGAAGAACTGAGTGATTTTGAAAATCCACCCATGAGGATCAACACCATGAAATTTGGGTACATCGAGTTTCAGAATATGACGTTGTGGTGGAGTAGTGATGTCTGGTTTTTTGGAGCGGTGCTCAAGGGACTGAACACGGTGGTCGACTTCATCCATACGGAGGTTGAAGTGATCCTGAAAACGTGAAATGACCTGAGTTAATTCGTCTAGCTTTTCGCTTGTGGAACAAGTTGTAACGTTAGACATTTGGATTTACGGGAGAAAGAGGTCAGTGATGAAAGCACCACTGATATGAGTGTGTGTGTGTGTTAACAATTAGGTCTGCTATTAGAGGAGCAGAATTCCTCCGAAGAATTGAGAGAAAGGAAAAGGATTTTGTATTCAATTTCAGGATACTGTGAATGGAGCTACTAGCTCACTTAAATACAAAAGCAAATAACGAAAATATTCCCCAAATCCCTTAACAAGTGGAAAATCTAACAAACTTATAATGACTCATCAATCTTCTAGATCCTTTCTCCACTAACTGACAAAATAGTCACATAGTCTTCCAACCTTTTTGGGGCCTTGATTATTATCTTTGCTCTTGGGCTTGGTACTGGGTCTATCTCCTCTTCAATTATTGGGCTTTGGTCATTATTTATGGGCCCAGCCGTATCAGAATACAATGAGAGTTTGAGACTTATTGAACATCAAATGTAAGATTAGGTGCTTAGTAAAGAAGTTGGGTGCCACTTGAATGCAAACCACTGGCAGAGGCATTGAAATTCTTGACAGCTGTTAATGGCTCATGGCTGTATACTTCAATCCTGTGAATTACATATAGTTACTGACATCTGGCACTTGCTGTTGTCAAATGTCAGTGCTGTTAGCAAGCTTCAGTCATTTAGTGATAGATGGGGACTGTTAGAATCTGTCATGAATCATGAGCAAGATATACAAAATCAAAATTTTACTCAATGCCGGAAATGGGAATGAAGATTGTACATCGGGCCACTGTAACATGAATCATAAGGTTCTATGAATTTGATATAATTCATATATACGTGTGTGCATATAAAATGTACATAAATAAAGAAAAATGTGGAAAAAGCTTGGTAACTTTCATACTTCATTGAAAATAGTAAGTTTCCCATATTATAAATCATAAAGCACTTCAGGTCTTCGTAAGTTTGCAGCTCTTTTTTGTACGGTTCCAAGTCTCTCCCAAAAGACTAGCTAGTCTTCCTTTCAACTTTTCCTCTTATTGATGCACAACATAGCCTACCTCTCTTACTATCTCTGTCACTGTTAATCCTGCATTACTCCAACTCTGTCAACTAATAGACCCAATACAAATATAATTGCAGTGTTTCTGGTTGTATAATTCAAAAGTTCTGAACTGGAGCCTAAAATTACGGGCTGTGTTTTACTTGGCATATGTTAGGGATCATTCATTCGTACCATGATTCTTGATGTTTATCATCAGTTGCTACATACGAATTTTCCATGTGCCTTTTTTTACTTCAATTTAACAATACTTCTGTCAGATATCTAACAATTTATTCATACCTTTTACTTCCAATTTGTTTTTTTTGTAACTTGGGTATTTCTAGTGACCAAAGCAATTAAATTGCTTTCAGATATCAACAATATGGAAGAGTCCATATAGAGGTGGTGAATGGAAACCATGCTTGCACAGATCTTCAGAAGGTATAATTTGATTAATGTTGATACACAGTATTATCAAAATTCTCTCTGTTTTCCCATTATGCTTATTTTAGTTGTTTGATATCACCAACTTACTTGTCCTGTAAGAGTATTATCGAATGAATTAGTACATCTTAGTGTTACTGTTAAAAAATCTTTACACATTCATCCAGCTTACTGTTGGCTATTCATAGTTCAAAACAACACCTAATTTATCTTTCGACTAAATTTCTGTCATCTTTCACAATCCCCCTGTGTAACTCGAATTAAGGAAGTCTACCTAGTCTCCATTCCAAGTAGATTTATGAACAAAACCTGAAAAATTATAAACTTAATACTCTTATTCAGGGGCATTATATTAGATTTTTGTTTGTATATGATGTGATTGTGTGGTTTATTTTCAATTAATCAATGGAATTTCTTATTACTCTGAAAAGATTAGTAGCATATTGTCAAATTTTTTGATGGAATGTATAAAGGTTTATTTGTATGATATGGGGTCCTATATTGCTAAGCTTTATACAAAGTTTAAAGGAATAGTTAATGATTGAATGATTATGTCGTCTTTAGATGACTTAACAGACCCATATCTAACCTATTTATAGATGGTTAACTCCCCTTTTGATCATATTCATTCAGATGTGTGGGGTCCATGTTTCTATCGTAGGTTTTAAGTACTTTGTTACTTTCTTTGATGTTTTTTCTAGATGTACTTCGATTTTCTTAATGAAAGAAAATTCAGTTATTTACTATTTTTCAAAGTTTTTGCAATGAAATTCGAACTCAGTTTGAATATTCTATTCGTGTCTTGCGCCTATAGCAGCCACTATAGTGTAAAAAGAAGAATTTTTCTCATTTCACTAAGGCCCTGTTTAGATTACCAACTTAATTGAGTGCTTAAGCAGAAGCGCTTATCATATCAGTGCTTATGTATAAGTTATTTCTATAACAAAAGATAAAATAAAGTTAGTCTGTTTTTATATAAGCTATCCTTGAGAGCTTACAAAAATAAGCTGAAAATAATTTATGGACATGTCATAAGCTCTTACAAAACAATCTCACAAGTATTTATGCCGGTAGATAGCTTCCTATATGTAAATTCAAATAAATTTTAAGACAGAAAAGTTCAAAGAGAAAGGGTCAAAAGAAATTATCCTTAAAATAAAGCAGAAGAAAAAGTTAACTACATGGAACAAAAATCAGTATAGCAGAGCAGCCGACTGAATCCCTAAACTCTTTCTACGGGACACTCCATAAAATGGCCTGTGTGGGGGTACTTTATGCCATATGGAAGCCGAATGCCTTAGCATACCCCAAATTATTAGAATTAGTCACATGCTTTTTGTTATTAGTCACACATGATATCGTCATTAGCTGTACAATCCCAGATTAGTGATTAATTAGGACTAGAATTAGCAATCACATTAATTGTAAATACTTTTTTTTGACAAATATTGTAAATGCCTTATAAATTAAACAATATGGAACAAATATTGTAAATGCCTTGCAAATGTTAAACAATCCCTAATTTGTAAATGTCTTAGAATTAGATGCAGAAATACAAAAAACACACTCTATATACATATGTTGTGCACTGCCACAATTATTTGTTTGCTTTACTTCTTCGTAGATCTTCAAAACTAGTCATAAACAAAAGACCCAATAACTAAGGGCACACTCCACCTAATGTTCTCCCTAAATGGTAAACAAAATTAAATAAAGTTGTGGCAGATCAATGCAAGAATAGACGAGAACTAATTTTGAGCTTGTGCCAAAATACCACATGCCAGGTGAAATTGGTATTAATTCTATCAAGTGCAACTGTCCAAATAAAAGAGTTAACCTTAAAGGAGGCCTTGATTTTCAAAGGGATATGTCAAGGTGGAACATTTCTCTTTTCAGTGAAGGAGTATAGATCCGGTAAGCAAAAGTTGCACGAAATGACCCTAGGAGTATCATAGAGAGCGAAATCTTTCATATTGACTTGAGGGAAAATGAACAAAGTCGAGAGTATCCAAAATAACTTTACATATAAAGTATTTCATGTCATTGATGTTATGAAATCCCAATAAATAATTGAATTTCGAATACAATGAAAGCAGACAATAGAGCCTATGGAAAGCCAAAATCATATTTGATGAGATGAAAGTAATGAATACCCGGTTAACTTATGAAGTGGATTGTTCTTGCAATACCTTATTGCAGTATATTGCTTACTGTTATATGTGGGAATTATGTTTGAACTTCTGACAATTTCCTGTATTCCTTTTAAATAATGTAAATTTCTTATGAATCCCACAGGCCTTCCTGAATCAAATGGATACATTTATGTAGAGGCTAATGGTGGCTTAAATCAGCAAAGGACATCGGTTAGTGTTGTTTATATGTCCGGTCTTTTTGTTTGTTATATGTTAGCTAAATTTAGCATTACTTTCAACATTTTCATTTAATGAATGTGGTGCTTATAGATATGCAATGCTGTTGCTGTGGCTGGCTATCTTAATGCTACTCTTGTGATCCCAAATTTCCATTTTCATAGCATCTGGAAGGATCCTAGGTATGTTCATTTTTCTATCTTTTAATTTGATTTTTCAGTAAAAGAGAAGCCTAGTAATTTATGTTGGCATTGCATCCACTATCTACAGCTTAGCAGTCACTCCATGATCCACTATTGCATTTCTGGTATTGGGTGGTGCTCTGCACTAACAAGTTTTATGGTTATAAAATTACGCTGTTGTATTGACTGACAAGTTTATTGGGAGATGTTTCAATAATGGTCAAGGTGTTAAAGACTAAATTTTTTCATAATGTTTCAATATTTCAGCAAGTTCAGCGACATTTATGATGAAGAATATTTTGGCAATATCTTGAAAAATGATGTACGGGTGGTTGAAAAGATTCCGGAGCACATGATGGAAAGATTTGGCAGCAACATGACAAATGTTTTCAATTTCAGGATCAAGGCATGGTCATCCATTCAGTATTACAGAGACGTGGTACTCCCAAAGTTACTTGAAGAACGGTGAGTTACAATATTCTTTTATGAAGCTATTGCTTATTGTCATTGATCTCTAATGGTTATGCAGTTTTGACCAAGAGTCTGGTGTCAGGTGTTTGTTTGCAAGTTATATGTTTTATTACATTCTAATTTTTTTAAGTTTAAATTATTGATGTTTTATTCCAATGTCTATTTAGTAATTTTTTTAAAACTTTATCCTTATTTGGAGAGAGAATTCAGAAACTGTAATGATATTAGCGACACATTAGAAGATAAAGTAGCGGAAAGCCGGAAACTTTTAGGGTCTGTTTGAGAGTTGGTTTTTGGAGGATTTTGGAGGAGAAGGCTTAGGAGGAGTGCATCTATATCTTGAAATGTGTTTGATATTTTTAAAAAGTTTAAAAAACAATATGATTTTATATGCTAATGCAATATATACATTTTTTTAACTTTTTAAAACTATCTAAAACATTTCAAGATATATTTGCACCCCTCCAAAACCTTCCCCTCCAAAGTCCTCCAAAACCCAACACCGAAGAGACCCTTAGGCTATGTTTGGGAGTTTGGAGGAGAAGGGAGGGGAGGGAGGAGGGCTTTGAAAAATAGGAAGGATTGAGTGAAAAGAGTAGAAAATTTTTGCTTTGGAGGGTTTTGGAGGGTTTGTTTTTCTTCATAACACCAAAAATCCCCTAATTTTGGAGAACTCAAAATTTGTATTGGAGGAGAGTTTTGGAGGGCTTAATCAATTTGTTCAAATATAATTTTTGTTGTTATAGTATTTTAAAAACTAAAAATACATTAATGATAAACATTATTTTATCATTCTAAACAATTTTTTTTTTCAAAAAATGTTAAAAATTTCTTTATATTTAAAAAAAAAAATATTTTTGGAAGCCCTCCCTCCCCCCCCTCCCCCCCAAACTCCTAAACATAGCTTCAGTTTAAATGCCTTTTTAATCTATGTGCCTCAACCTTGAACCTCAAGAGCTATGGAATAGAGGGATTAGTCTATAACTTATATTTATCAATTCAACACTTATTGTTGCTTTTTTGTCGTGCAGGAGATATAATACAATTATTTTATTCTAATTTAAAATTTTACTGAACATGATTGACTTTGTTTATTTTATGGTGCACAACTTGTGCACAAAAATATCTGGAAGTAAAATACACTAGGGCCTTTGTTAATGATGTAATATCAATTGATGGCCATTTTATCAGTTAGTTATTGTACTATTCGTGTCTTGTCAATGCATGCGAAATTCAGAATGTGAGTCTGTTTGGTAAGATAAGAAAAAGAGCATTACCTTTTAGCTTTTCAGCTCTCATTTTTCAGATGAATTTTTATGTTATAATGTTTCGTGATCTCTTATGGGTTTAATTTGGCAAGAGTAAAACTATTGTGTTTGCTGTTTACAAATTTCCGTATTCAATCACACAGGGTTATACGGATTTCACCTTTTGCAAATAGATTGTCATTTGATGCTCCTCCAGCTGTCCAGCGTCTCAGATGCTTAGCAAATTATGAGGCTTTACGATTTTCAAGTCCCATATTGTCCCTGAGTGAATCTTTGGTTGCAAGAATGAGGAAGCAAAGCATAGTGAATGGCGGTAAATATGTCTCCATACATCTTCGTTTTGAAGAGGTTGGTTTGATCAGATATGAATGTTGTTCTGAAGTATGTAAGCTGGCATTACATATTGATCTCTGCTACCTCTCTTTCTACTTGCTTCTCATGTGCAGGATATGGTTGCTTTCTCTTGTTGTGTTTTTGATGGTGGGAGACAGGAGAAAGATGACATGGTTGCAGCAAGAGAAAGAGGTTGGAAAGGGAAATTTACAAAACCTGGACGAGTTATACGTCCTGGAGCAATCAGGATCAATGGGAAGTGTCCCCTCACTCCATTAGAGGTATTATCTTCTCAAATCTTCAGTTATCTTGGTCTATATGACGTGTGTTGAGGTTATTGGTTTAGTTTTTGTTTTATTGGGCATGGAAGGAGGAAAAGGAATACCCTGACTAATAAAATTGAATATGTTGCGAATGATTGATGGATAATATATACAACCCAAAAGCACCATTCCTTAATTGTTTATGCTAATACTATACTCTTGATCCCAATAAAATTATGAAATAAACCATGGGAGTAAAGAATTATGGAAACTAATTCAAGAGATAACCTTGGTACTCTTGACATATTTTATGAAACACTATTGACGTAGTGAGATATTTTTCAGATATTCTACACAGACTAATAAAATTTCCTGGAAAGTGCTGCTTTTGTTGAGAGTCCCAATGGGTGTTATATGATTTGAAAAAACGTTTATGGCTGGGAGGTATCTCTCCCTTTACAAGTTGATTTTATGGAGTTGAGTTGGGTTTATCATAGATCCGTTGACAATGAGACTTAGATGTGACATGGCTTAAAAATGTTTATAATTGGAGGACACCTCTCACCTTACAAGTTGGTTTTATGGGTTCAACCCAAATTCTAAGAGCTTCAAGACTTTTTGTCTGCCGCTCATTTTTTAAACGCAAAACATTATAACTTTATACTAGTTTCTTTGTTTATATAATGGTCAATATTTTTCTATATGTCTTCAGGTTGGCCTTATGCTTAGGGGAATGGGTTTTACAAAGAACACCTCCATCTATTTGGCATCTGGAAAAATATATAATGCCGAGATAACAATGGCCCCTCTAAGGGAAATGTTTCCTAATTTGCATACTAAGGAGACTTTAGCATCCGAGGAGGAACTTGCCCCATTTAAGGTATAAATTAGTATTCTATCCCACTTCATTATTCTCTCGAAAGATTACGTACTGTAATTTTGACTTGAGTTTCTTCTAGAATTATTCTTCCAGGATGGCTGCTATAGACTACACAGTTTGTCTTCATAGCGAGGTGTTTGTCACAACACAGGGCGGTAACTTCCCTCATTTTCTACTGGGCCACCGGAGATACTTGTATGGTGGACACTCTAAGACAATCAAGCCTGATAAGCGGAAGTTGGCATTACTCTTTGACAGTACCAATATTGGGTATGGATTGTCTGTGCTGTAGTATATATTTCTTTCAGTTCAGTTTTGCTATGATCTTTGAGACATGAATACAATTAGAGAAGGCAAATACCCAGGCAATTGTTTTCTCGGGTAGAAGATGATATTATTATTATAAACATTGATTGCGCGGAATGGAATTTACTTGAAAATCTCTTGTATAAAAAGAATGCAATTTGTAGCACTCCTCGTTATAAAAAGAGGATCCTTGTTGTTTTAGGATTATGGAGGTCAGATTTATCTTATTATTTGTAGAAAGAATTTGACTCTAATTTGTCTACTTTATAGATGGAGAAGTCTCAAGCGTCAATTGCTAAGCATGAGGTCACACAGTGACTCCAAAGGAATTGAGCTCAAAAGGCCTAGTGACTCCATATATAGCTTTCCATGTCCAGATTGCATGTGCCACACAAATAGAACTGTTGATTCTAAATCTTCATCAGCAACTTGATCTACTGACAAAATTTTATGGGTGTTGCTGCATTTTACTGACGGGACTATTTCATTTCCCCCCCTTTCCATATGATGAGAGGGGCACCTAGGATTTGGAGGTTAACAAGATTTTGTTAGAGGTTTTTGTAGTCCTGATTATTTGTGACTGGATTTCAAGGAAGTGGCATCTTTTTTTCACATGATGCAAGTTGAGAACAGAGTAAAAATTGTGCAATTGCAAGAATGTTGACTGAGCTTTGTTTAATATATTGAAGATTGAATTAGCAGCTGATGTATCTGACAAGCTATGAAAAGAACTAACATTCCATCATACCCTGCATGTAAATTACCTGGAGATTGTTCACGGCGGGTTTAAGGCTGAGCAACATTGTTTTGTGTACATTAGCAAATTCAACTTTGACATTGTGGCTTTGTATTTTCTTTTTTGTTTTCCCATGTATTGAGGGGGCCCATTGTTAGTTGTAAGTCTGTATCGGAGTACATTTGTTATTCTTTTACATTGGTAGTCCATTGTTTTAGTGATGATACCAGTGCATGTAATTACTTTAACATGAATGACTAGCAGTTGCAAAAGATTCAAACAGATGTTTTCTAAGTGTTTTTGAGTTCGGTTGTGATTGCATAATATACATACATACAATCAAATCTCACTTTAGTTGTGGTGATACCAACCAGGCAAACTTGGTCTCGTGACAGTAAAAACAAAATATTTGTAGATATTTGTGTTATGTTTTAAATGCCACAAAAAGCTTCAATTTGTCAGTGGAAATATGAAACAATGCAAGTGCAATGCGCTGTAGCCTATATGATCCAAGAACTACCCATGCAGAATTGTCCTCCAAGAACTACCCATGCAGAATTGTTCTGGTAAACTACATGAGAACCTCATCCACCTTAGCATTTGCCTAATGCAGTGTTGTTTTTATACTTGACGAGATAAATGTAACAAAAGAAAATAAAGTAATACATTTCACAATTGCAGCTTAATCTAACTCTTCAATTACATCTAAATCTTGTGTTAGTTGTCTTGCAATTGAACCATTTCTTCTAGGTCGTCTAGACTGAGAAGCAAAAGGATTGGGAGGTATTGGAGTTTTGTCTTCATCTCCTTCCAACATTTGAACCACCATTTGCATTGATGGTCGATCCATTGCATGCCATTGAATGCACCAAAGTCCCACAATCGCCATTTTCCTAACAGTTTTTTCATCCTCTTGATCATCAACATGAATTCTCATTTCCTCTTGGTCATCTAACAGATTATGAATCCATTCTGGATAGTGAACATGACTAGTGTTTTTCTCTAAATCCTCCGTGATCTTCTTTCCTCCTATTGTTTCAAGCAACATCATTCCATAACTATAAACATCTGATTTGTAAGACACATTTCCAAAGTTTCTTGAAAAAACTTCGGGAGCAATGTAGCCCAAAGTTCCTCTAGCTGTAGTCATCGACACTATGCTCTGATCCCTAGAACATAATTTAGCTAGACCAAAATCACTTATTTTTGGAATGAAGTTATGGTCAAGTAACACGTTTTGCGGCTTGATATCAAAATGGAGGATGCGTTGATCACACCCTTGATGAAGATACTCAATTCCTTTAGCTATTCCTAAAGCAATTTCGTGCATTTTTTTCCAACCAAGGAAGTTTTTCTCATTATCCGGTGAATTTATGAACTTTTGCAATGAACCATTTGGCAAAAATTCATAAACAAGAGCTCTTTTAAACCCATCGGCGCAAAACCCGATCAATCGAGCAATATTAACATGGTGGATTCTACCCATTGTACCAACTTCATTGAGAAAGTCCTGCCCATTTCCTTGAGAAAAGTTTAGTATTTTGACAGCAACATTAATCTCTTTTGAAATGCTTCCTTTATACACACTTCCATAAGCTCCTTCTCCTAATTTGTCTCCAAAATTATTAGTGATTCTCTTAATTTCTACATAAGAGTATCTAGTAGGCTTAAGAGCTCTATAGTCTTCCAAAAACCTTTCTATAATTGCTTGTTTTGCTTTCTTTAGTATGTAAATGTCATAAATATGGTAAACTGCACCAGTCAACAAGATGAAAAACAAAGATCCAAGAATTGACCCTGTGGTGAGTAAAGCCGTTGATGAACCTGCAACAAAACCATACTAGCAAAACTTAGTTTATCTATTTTGACGCGATTACCTCAAAATAAATATACTGGGAAATTACCTTTGGAGATACAGTCGATTTTCTTGGAGTGTGTAGTATTGTTCCAACCACACCTGTTTCCTTTTGATTCACAGTGTTTACAATCAGGCTGAGACCACATCAAAGGAACAAATTCAGAAGGTTTGAATGAAACATGAAACATTTTGGTGCAAAAAGAGAGAGGAAGGTCATCAATGAGTCTATCAGAAGGGATAGCATATGTTTGAGAGGTTGAAGTGCTTAGACATGGAACCAAATAGGAATCTAACTCATTTCTAATCAGAAGTGAACAGTTGAAAAAGTAATGGTCAACAAAATGATCATAGTCACGTTTCAAGTAGTTGAACGGAGTGGATGAAATATTGAGGTTTTTGATCTGTTTGTAAAGACAAGTTTGTGGATCGGAAAGTAGAATTGTTTGGCGTTTGTAGTCAATGTTATCGACATTGAGTTTCACTGAGTGAGGAAGTTGAATCATAGTTTGGTTTGATGAACAAATCAAATCAAAGCCAGGGTAGCCACGCGATGGTGCTTGATGGTTTTTGATTCCGAAAGGGAATCTGATAGCTTGATTTCCGCAAAAGGAATCTGTTGTGGCTGTTGTTATTCCAAAAACAAAGGAAACCATCAACAACAACAATCCCATAACATAATAACAACTGTTCATTGTCTTGTTTGTTTCAAACTCACTTTAACTATAGCCTCCTAATAAAATTGAAAATTTATATTTAGAAAAGAAAGGAAAGGAGTATAGGAAGGTTTATTATTTCAAGTCAACTGCACAAGCCATCTAGGTAGCTACCGCGACACTACGTGTATGATTTTGTTGTACATGAAAAAGAAGAACTGTTAATATGGTGTTGATATGACAAGGTCTAATGTGGTCCACTTTGAAAATGAGTACATGGTTCAACTCTAAGAAGTGAACTTTACGGTACTACTGATTACTGTATCTAAATTAAGTATTTAAAATAAGAGTTAATAATATGTTTTATTCATGTAATACTAGTGAATTCTGATTTACTTTTTAAAAAAAATAATTTAGATTACTAAGATTATATTATTTTTCTATTTGGTGTCATCTCACCTATTGATTTTACTTAAAATGAAAGGAGAATTACTTTTGTAGAAAAAAAAATAAAGTTATAGATTAAGAGTAATATGACATGGAAAAATGTGTTTTATCTCTTAGTTCTAAAATGGATGACAATCACACTTATCAGTTAAAGACTTGGACGAGAACCTACAAAGATGTTGGAGTTTTGAACAATAGAATTGTAAAATCCAAGTGAATTGCAAAAGGAGTTGTTGATAAGATATAGACAAGTGACATGAATCGCCGATATCATACAAGACATTATAAAAAAACTTTTCAATTTGAATTACTTCAAGCATGACATGAAAGGCCAATGAGATTGTAAAATGTATTGTTAAAAGAGATGTTGATGGACAATATACAATAATATGAAGGTATGCTATTGAGTTAAAAAGGAAATTTACTAAGAATACTTCCAAGATAAACGTTGACAAACCGAATCCATCAAACCAACCAATATTTAGTTCATTCCATTTTTCATTTTATGGCTTAACTAGAGCATGTAGGCAATTTGTTGGTGTTGACGGCTTCACTAGGGCACTTAGACTATTTATTGGTGTTGCAGCTTCACTAGGGCATGTAGGCTATTTATCGGTGTTTACGGCTACCACTTGAAGACTAAATATGGTGGACAATGATGATAGTTTATCATAGCATGATTTTAGTATGATTTCTAGTCTTTTTTAGTGTCTTTTTCTTTTCATTTGTATATTTTTTTTGTAAGAGTTAATAAAGATTCTAAAGAATCGTGGAAAATAATTATCCAATTTAAAATCATCCTAACCAAATAAATACTATGATATTTTATTGTGAAATTTACGACGACAAAACAAGGAGAGGATCATTACACATGAAATAGAAGAAAAAGAGAAAGAATTGAAAAATATCAAGAATAATGGCGCATCAAAATTCCAGAATAGCGCTATTTAAGAAAAACAAAAGAAACTGAACCTAAGATCACAAGCGACACTATTTTAAGTTTTTGGAAAGAAAAGTGGCCCCCCCTAAGATAAAGGGACGTGATTTTTAAAATTATAGATTACCACGTCAGACAAATTGTAAAATTGTGACGCGTCTTATGTTAATAATGAAGAGCTTGTGGTATTCAATTTTACCTTTGTGCAATATTTTGATCATATAAGAAGTTTTGTAAGTTTAATTGAGGTGAAACTAAAGTAAAATGAAATCTAACGTCCATTATTTAACTTTTGCAAGTAAAAGTCTAATCCGGATTCTAAAAAGATGTAAAATAACATGTAAAATTTTGATGGGGTGACAAAGTTGAATTATAAACATTGGACGTTTCTCTTAACTCTAAAATTCCATTACAATGCCCATTTAATGTTAAGAAAGGAAAAGTTTTAATTTTTCAATTTTGTTACACAACTTTGGTTCTAAGGTTCCAAAGTTTTATGATATAGAGGTATTTTTGAAGCAAGGAAGAAGGAAAAACTCACTATTGGAATAATTCATAATCGTTTGTAAGGCTATTTTATTATTTTCTATTATAATTGCCATGAAAATTTTAAGGATGAATGTCTAGTTTCCTTAGATTATAACTCCTTATATGAATTATCCCTAATAATATGAACCATGTGATTCATGTAGTTTTTCTCTCTCTATAACAAACCTCTTATAATTATTCAATATTGTAACAACCACATATAATATGCATCTAGAATAACATCACACATGGTGTTAATTGATTCTGATACAAATTACGAACCTAATGACATCATATATACACATGTTCAAAGTACTAATATACAACATATGGCACATGATATACATGGATGCCTAAACAAAATGCTAGGATATATACATAGATACAACAAAAACTACTAAGAAACATCATGAAACTCCATATCATCTTCATACGACTTTACTTTTTCCTTTCTTCTGCCTTGAGTTATCTAAAAACTCAACAATATAACTAGGATGATATAATAATACTAGTGGGTTAGCCTATCTTATGGATCCATTCGACTCTAAAAGGTTACTGTATGATACTCTAACTCAAATCATTCAACTTTATCCCACGTGTATACATTCACACAGTAGAATAAAAGATTGAGTATCTATGGGATTTCTGCTTCGCATGGAAACATAAGAACTCGAGTTTAAATAACCCAAGAAACCACTACTCAGGAATGCAAAAATAAAGTATCATTCCCCATCCAATCCCATGTTTTAGACTATGGACACATGTCACTGATCTCTGTCACGTTGGACATCTTTCCCAGTGTGAGGTTCACTCCTCTATGGGACTCTAACCCACTGTGAGGTTCACTTTTCTATGGCACTTTAACCCACCGTGAGGTTCACTCGTCTATCAGACTCTAACCCACAGTGAGGTTCACTCTTCTATGGAACTCTAACCCACTGTGAGGTTCACTCTTCTATGAGACTCTAACCTATAAGGAGGTTCACTCTTAATGACTTGTCTATCCTGGTCACTGCTTTACATAAGAGTCAAAATCAGGATAAGCACGAATATGGGTTATTCTTGAATACGTGATCACTTTCAATAATCACTACATGATTATTATCATAAATCACAATATCATAATATCCTCCCTTATGAAGCCAATTAGAGTTGCATCTAGACTATCATTTAACATCCATGCCACTCGTGCACTCTCGTAGATGGAGCAATTCATCTTAAGTGACTACCCGCTCATGGGTACACACTAAGGTACCTTACATAATCGAGCATCAAAACCTAAGTTATTCATTATAACCTAAGTTTATCTTTACTAATCATTTTCACCTAACTATGATCCTAGGCTTAAACTATATTATCATAAAATTTGATCAATTATTGTTTAATAATGACTCGACATATATGCATGATATGACATCTTTCATACTATTATACAACTCAACAATAAGTAGTCCAAAGAGGAATTCATATGGTAATTTAGTCATCATTAATCATGAATAAAACATTCAAGCATGTTGTCACACCATCTATCATACAACCAGGGTTCATAAAATTCCAAGCTTACTAATAGAACTAAGGCATAGAAACATGATTTTACTTTACCATATTGTAGATAATTGATCTAGCTTGCATCCAACCATGCCCCAAATGGAGTTATGAAACTCATTTTATGGTTAATACATGGTGTCAATCGATTAACATGAGAGGTTAATCGATTAAACACCTCCCTCTTACGAAAAAATGTGAAATTTTAAGTAGGTTAATCGATTAACCTCTACAAATTTTCCAGAAAACTCACTTTTAAACTGATATTCTTCAACCTCTAACCATCCAAACCATATCCAATCATGTTAGAACATTCTCAAGAATTTCATACCATAAAATTAACATCATACAAGAACATATATACAACCATGTTTTATCATAATTAATCTCTAATAATCCAACTTATCCTATTATCATAGAATACATAAAACCACTTCAATTCAACACCATGACATACATAGAAACCTTATTCTTGCGAGTCTCTAAGGAATTCACAATCACAACTTATAACCACAACAACACAACTTCATGTCATCAACATGTCATAACATTATGCTTGATCCACCTTCTTTATAACTTCCACCTTTTCTTGATCCACTTCTAAGCCTTCCTTTGAAATTTTATGACCAATAAATATTCCTTCTGTTACTATAAAATGACACTTCTCCCAATTCAGCATAAGATTGTTTTCTTCACATCTAGTAAGCAACAAATCCAAATTATCAAGGCAATTCTTGAATTATTCTCCAAAAACAAAAAAGTCATCCATGAAAACTGTGATACGGTGGCAGAACCAACTGTTAATATTGGTTTGCATTTTTTGCGTTTTGTGTTCGCAAAATGTCGCGGTAAGTAAGAGTCGCCACCGACTTTTATTTCATCCAATTTGGAAAGGAAAAAAGTACAGAAAAAATCTTTTTTCGAGATACTCTGAGTACGGGGGATATATTATATAAAGGAAAGGTGTTAGCATCCTTTCTATCCATGGTTTTCCATGGGCTTTTAGGTACTTGCTCATTTTTAAATTGATTGTGTGTGTTATTTGTTTTTGAAAAGTTTGACTTCATGATAACCCTTGTATCAATCCTCAAAGGTGTGACTAAGTTGTTTTGAAAAATTTGTTTGAAAAGTGTAAGTGTGAAAAGTTTTGATTTGAGCAAGTACCTACTAGCATCTACCTACTCGAAAAAAGATCGTTTCTATTCTTGTTTCCTTTAGACAACGCTATCCTACTATTGAGAAATAGGTAGCACTGTCTTTGGAATTTGTAAGGGTCAATTCGAAAGGGACGTACGATCACTAAAGCAATATTAGGACGTCTTAGTAATAACCCTAGAGTCTTAAGATCATATTCGAGGCAACATTTCCGAGGCAACATTTCCGAGGCAACATTTCCAAGACAACATTCGAATGGGACATTTTGATCTTTTTAGACTGGAGGGCAACCGCTAAGACACCCTATGCTTAATGATCGTTTACCGAAGGCAACCGAAGTGAGAGTATACCCTAAGAGTGATATGTGCGAGTGATTTGTTTCAGTTATTTATCTTTGCACATTAGGGTTTTCTAACTGTTTTAATTTGTCATGCATTCTTGCCATACAATCCTATTAGCATACATCTAGACAGTTAAATATTTGCAGGAATTAGAAATGCGAGAAAATAAATCTACGCTATTACAAGGCTTCGGGGAGGGGGATTAATTACATAGCCAAAACCCAGGGATTTAAATAGTAAATAAAACCCTAAATTAAACTATTACAAACCATGAACAGTTACAAAATATTGGCAAAATAATAATAAGCGCGCGACGGATTAAATGCGAGACGATTAGGGTTTTGACCTTTTGACTAATCCTACTTGCGATTGATTAAAAAATGTTGTCTTTGTCATGTTTTGTTATTTGAGAAAATAATGAAATAATTGAATTAAAAAGAAAATCCTAAGTTCTAATTAATTTTAAATTAAGAAAAAAATAAATTAATTCATTCTAAAACCCTATTTTTGTATTTTTTTCATTTATTTGAGAAAGAAAGAAAAACTAAATCAAAAGTTAACCTAATTTTCTAATTGAATTTTAATTGTGAAAGAAATTAAAGTTGCCCTAAATTAATTAAACTAATTAATTAAAAAAACCTTTATTAAGAAAATCAATCTTTTTTTTTGTGGTTTTTGATTGGTTAATTTAATAAAATAATTTTTGTATTGATGAAAAAAACAAAATAATTAAAGAGAAGAAATTAAAGAAAAAATAATAGAAATAATCAAACGGGCTTGCTGTCAGCAGATCTAGCTGGAGACGGATCCATAAGATGATGACCCTCAGAAGGTGAGGTGCGTTGGATTTGGTTCTGGATGATGGATCCAGAAGATGATATCCCTCAGAAGATGAGGTGCACTGGATCTGGTTCTGGCTGATGGCTCCAGAAGATGATGACCCTCAGAAGATGGGGTGCACTGGATCTGGTTCTGGCTGATGGATCCAGAAGATGATGACCCTCGAAGGGGTGAACTGGATCTGGTTCTGGCTGATGGATCCAGAAGATGATGACCCTCAGAAGGGGTATGTGCTGGATCTGGTGAAAACAATGGAGAAAATGCCAAAAGCTCACGCTTGGGATCGAACCCAGGACATGAGCTTCTGACTCCCTTCCTCTGACCAACTGCGCTGGATGTTAACTTGTTAATATAATAAAAACAAATAATATATTGGAAAACAAGTTAGTGGCTAAAATAATGCGCCAGAATTTAAACCAGCCAGTCAGGTTGTGACACGCTGTTGTCTTCTTCCTTGGAACCGTTGTTTTAGGCTCTGAACCTTTACCTACAGACGCAAGTCTGTTGCTGAAACCCGTGTCATTCAAAAATCAAGCACACATAATATAAATTCAATTGGGGACCATGAATCAACTGGGTTTGAAGCACTGATCATCATGGTACCCATTATCAAGCCTAATTTTGCTTGAAACCCAAAACCCCAAATTGGAGCACGAAACCCTAACAATGGTAAAAGCTTGTTCCTGCACTATAACTTAAATCAAACTATCCAGAAACATTGCAAACATGATGATGATCACAAATATGTAACTTAAACATGCTAAAGAGGCAAGAATTACAATAATCGAATTTGGATAATTTTGCAAACTGTGAGAATGGTAGGGCGTGATTCTGGACGTGTAGGGGCGTGCAAGAGATCGGAGAAGCTTTCTGAGATGCCCAGGAATGGATTCCTGGCCTTGAATTGCTCTCAAAGGTCCTCTATCCTGAAATCAGAACCTCACTTTTTGTCAAGATTTTTGAGTTTTGTTCTAGCCGTTTCACGCCCCTGACCTCCCATTTTTGCTTTGTTCTTATTCATTATATATCCCTCAATGAATTAGGGTTGCAAAACAGATTGAATCTTGAAGCTTTGATGATATTTTATTTGATTTTCAATTTGTATGATATATTTCTATTTTCATGCCAATCATGCCTTTCTTGTACCAATTGCCATTGATTCGAATTGGTCATCCAAGCTCAGCATATTTTGATTGCCCATCTATAAAAAAACAAATCAAATCATATCTTTGATAATTTTCATCATTTATTTGATTTAATTCACTTTTAATTAATAAAAAATCAAAATAAATTTAAAAATGAATCAAATAATGTGTGGATAAGTATTTGAGTCGTAGACCACATTATAATTGAGGCGCAAGCATAAAAAGTTGGGCCCATTTAGCAAAAAATACAAATTTGAGCACATTTGACTTTTGGCAATTTTGAAAAAAGGGTCAACTTGGCCAATGCATAACTCTCTCAATTTTGACCCTAGAGAGGGGTTCTTGGACTTTTTAGAAAGATTAAGATGTCCTCTAAGCAACCCTTTTGGTCTAATCTCAATTGAGTCTTCCATGTTCATGTACGAATCTTTGACCCAAAAGGTGTTTTTGTTGACTTTTCAAAATGACCTATAATGTCAAAATTCATATCTTTTTGTGAGTGCATATTCTGAACTTGGGAACTGAATATGAATTGTAGGGAATTGCATCCTCTTAAAAATGAGCTTTGTATGGGTAATTTTTGATAAAGTATGAGAAAATTATGCTTGGTCAAAATTGAGTTGACTTTTCCTATAAAACCCTAATTTAGCAACTTTTGGATTTTGATGAATTGTGAGCAATCCTTGAAGAATCATGATCAACCCTTGGTCAAATGATTACTAATACTTCAAAATGAGGATGTTGACCAAAAATCTTGAAGTTTGACTATATGTGGGCCACAATTGACTTTTGACTTAACATAGTTGATTTTCAGGCATTTGAGCAATTGACTGAGCAAACTTCTTCTGCAAGGTTTGAAATTTGACATGGATGATCTTGAGAACATATTAGGACAATGGTGAGAATTTGAGTCCTTTGTGGTTTACACATCTTGATGAAGATGGAAACCCTAATTTGAGGTAGACTGCCTTAGGAGAGAGTTTGTCTGGTCAACTCTTGAACTTCCTTGAGCAATTCGGGGACCTCACCTGCCATGTGTTAAGAAATATGGGAGGGAAAATTTTGGGGTACAACAAAAACCTTCATGGAATTTTAAATGATGTCTGAAAATATTGCCATCATACAATGTTGGAATATGGTTGGAGCATTGCACAATCCAAATGGCATCCTTCTGAAAGCAAAAGTACCATAAGGGCAAGTGAATGTAGTATTCTCTTGATCTTTAGGTACAGTGGCTATTTGGATGTACCAAAAATACCCATCCAAGAAGAAATAATACTACTTACCAGCCAATCTATCCAACATCTGATCAATAAATGGTAGATGAAAGTGATCCTTCCTTGGTTGTTCAACTTCCTATAATCCATACAGATTTTCTAGACTGTAACATTTCTTGTAGGAATTAGTTCACCCTTCTCATTGTTGACCACTGTCATGCCACCCTTCTTTGGCACACATTAAATTGGACTTACCCACACACTATCATAGATAGGGTGGATAATACTAGCATCTAACCACTTGATAATCTCTTTCTTGACCACTTCTTTCATAAAAGTGTTCAACCATCTTTGACTTTCAATGTTATTCTTGGAATTCTCTTCCAACTAGATTCTATGCATATAAATTATGGACTGTTTCCCTTGATGTTATATATTTTCCAAGCAATAGCCTTCTTGTGTCTCTTTAGTATTGCCAATAGTTGAATCTTTTGCTCAAAAGATAAATCTATAGCAACAATCATTGGAAACTTCTGTCCCACGTCCAAATAAATATATTGTAAATGGGAAGGCAGTTGCTTAAGTTCCAACTCAGGGGAACTCCCATTGAAGGTGAGCTTTGATTATTTAATAAAGTAGATAAATCTAATGCCTCCATAGGTTCATATTCAATACATGGTTTTCTCAAGGGTCCACTAATGATTCCACCATGTTGAACTTCATCCTTTTCCAACTTCCCTAACTCTTGTTCCACCATATTGCTTGTCTTAAGTAGATTCTTATGGATGATTACCTCCCAATTTGAGATTATGGAGCAGTCAACTACGTCTTCCTTAGGAATATGCAAAGCATTGAAAACATTGATCACAACTTGTTGTCCATTAACTCTCATGGTGAGTTCTCCTTTTTACACATCAATTAAAGTTATTCATGTAGAAAGAAAAGGTCTTCCTAATAAAACGGAAGTTTCTTCATCAAAATTAAAATCCATAATAATGAAATCAGTAGGGAACACAATCTTGTCAACTCTCACCAACACATCTTCTATCTTAGCAAATACTTCTATCAGATAGTTACAAAGTGACGATTGTTGGCATGACAACTTTAATCCCAAGTTTCTTGGAGATGGATAAGGGCATGAGATTAATGCTTTCCCCTAGATCACATAGTTCTCTTCCACATAAATTATCTCCAATTTTAAAAGGGATGGTAAGACTTCCAGGATCTTTCAACTTAGGAAGGATCTTGCCTTAAACTAACTGGTTGCACTCTTGAGTTAGGGCAACCGTTTCAAACTCTCATACTCTTTTTATCTTAGTGAGCACATCCTTCATGAACTTTGAATAGTTTGACATTTGTTGAGTAACTTCAATCAAGGGTATGTTAATGTGAAGCTTCTTCAAAATTTCCATAAACTTGCCTAATTACTGCTCTTCTTTGGCTATCATAATCCTTTGGAGAAAAGGAGGTGAAGGTCTCTCTTGAACACATTTTTGGACTCTGTCGACTTCAAGCACGACTTCTGGCTATTTTTATGAATTGGAATTCATGCAAGTAGCATTCTTTTCTTCATTTTGTCCTTCTAAGGAAGGATCCTTAGTGGAATATTTTTATTTTATTGAACTATTATGAGCTTTTAATTCTTCACTTGACTCTTTGTTTCTTGGTGTGGATCCTTCACATTTCTTTCCACTTCTAATCTTAATGACCTGACGAGTTTCAACATTATTAACTCCAGATGTAGAGGCTGGAGCTTCAATAGATCTTGGGAGAGCACCCATATTTCTTGAACTCAAAGCAGTGGAAATTTCCCCCACTTAATTCTCTAGATTTTGATGCTTACTCCTTGTGCTTGAAACTGGTTCTTGGTCTCTTGAATGAAGAACTCCAAAATTTTCTCCAACTAGTTATCCCCTTGATTTTCCACAACATAGTTGGGTATGGAAAAACCAGGTGGGACTTGTGGTGCTTGAGTTTCTTGAGGCTTTGGTTGATTTTTATTATTACTCCATGAAAAATTAGGGTGGTTGCGCCATCCAGGATTGCATGTATTGCTGTAGGGATTATTATACCTATTATTTTTGTTGTTGCCAACATAGTTGACCGAAAAAGATTTACAGAAAAGTCATGAAATATATCGGCACCTCCATATTACGCACATGCAACTTCACATGCATCAGTAACCACCTTAATATGTTTAGGCTTTGTCACTTCAGGAGTTATCTGATTCTTCATCATTTGGTGGATTTGAGCTACTTGAGCAGCAAGGGATGTTGTCTCAATGACCTCATGAACTCCAACAGTTCTCTTTTGAGTTGAATTAGCAGTAGCCCTAGTAACAAGCCATTGATAAGTGTTGGCAATGATACTCTCAATAAACATAAAACCATCTTCATAGGATTTAGAAAAAAAGGCTCTACCATTTGAGGCATCAAGCACGTTCCTAGAGAAAGGAACCAATGCATTTTAAAAAGTCTCAAGTTGAATACATATTGGAATGCCATAGTAAGGGCATTGTATAAAAACTCTTTGAATCTTTCCCAAGCATCAAATAAGGACTCTTCATCTCATTTCCTAAATGAAGTAATCTCATTTCTCATCTTAGCATACTTGGAAGGAGGAAAATACTTGGCTAGAAACTTCTCAGCAAAATCATTCCATGTGGCAATAGAATTAGATTCCAAGGAATTTAACCAACTCTTGGCTCTATCCCTCAGAGAATATGGAAAGAGCGTTAACCTAAAGGCATCATCAATCATGCTGGGAAACTTAAAATTACTAGCAACATCTAGGAATTGTCTCAAGTGCAAATGAGAATCTTCATTTGGAGAACTTGAGTACTGACCAAAGGCTCGCAACATCTAAAACATCATAGGTTTGAATTTAAATTGAGTTGCAACGATTTATGGTTGTATGTGTGATATGGTGGCAGAACCGACTATTATACTGGTTTTGCATTTTTTGTTCGTAAATGTTACGGTAAGAAAGAGTCACCACCGACTTTTATTTTATCCAAATTAAGGAAAGGGTGAAAAGAACAGAAAAAGACCTTTTCGATAATTTTCTGAGTAAGCAGGGTATATTATGGAAAGGGAAGGTGTTAGCACCCTTTCCATCCGTAGTTATCTATGGGCTCTTAGGTACTTGCTCATTTTTGAAAACTGTTTTCGTGTTTGTGTGTTTTGAAAGATTTTGTCTGCTTTATGATAACTCTTGTATCAGTCCTCAAGAGTGTGATAAAGTGTTTTTGAAAAGAATTTTGAAAGTGTGTAAGTGTAAAAAGAATCATATTTGAGCAAGTACTTAAGAACTATCTACCTACTCGAAAAAGACGTTCTTTTCCTCCTTTCCTTTAGATAGTGCTATCATACTATTAGTGAGTAGGTAGCCCTATCGTTGGATGTTGAGGGACCATCGAAAGGGAAGTTTATGGTCATTGAAGGCAACATGTAAGGACACCTTAGAATTTCGAAGGGACTGTCATCATGTAGGAAACATCGAGGGACAAGATCAATTCTCGTAGGCAACTCGAGCGACATTAAGGGACCATGATCTTTATGATGAATTTTGAATTGAGGATGTGATACGGAGGGAGAACTGACTTGGGTGTTTTGCATTCGATTGAAAATGTTGCGGATAGCAAGAGTCACCACTGACTTTTCTTTTATCCAAAAGGAAAGGCTGAAAAGAACAAGAAAGACCTTTAGAGATGTTTTCTTGAGTTCGAGGGTAGATTATGAAAATGGAAGGTATTAACACCCTTTTCATCCATAGTTATCTACGAGCTCTTAGTTGCTTGCTAGATCACTTGATTTTGTTTGAATCTGTGCTTGTGGTGTGGGTTTTGAAAGTATTTTGAAAATGTCTTTGTAATGGTTCTAGTTTCTATAAGAACGCGTACACAGTGTTGTTTCAAAAATAGTTCGAAGAGGTGTTTATGGAATGTGTTCTTGAAAGTGATTTTGAAAAAGATATCTTTGTAATGGCTCTCGTTTCTATAAGAACACGTACAAAGTGTTTGTATTTTGAAAATGTTTCAAATGAGTATGTTGGTGTATAAAATGTTTTTGGTGTGAGCAAGCGAGCAACTAGGAGCAATCTACCTACTCAAAAGGTCTTAGATATTCTTTTCCTCCTCCTTTAGATGTTGCTATCTTACCATTGATTTGGTAAGAAGTCCCATCTTTGGATGTGAAGGGACGAGCGTGGGACGTTTGTATAGTCATAGAAGGAAACCTATGGGACGTTTTAGCAATGTCATTTAGAGACTAGATCGTTTACCAAAGGCAACATTGAGAGTCATCGAGGGACTACGACCTTTTATCGAGGGTCTTTGCTAAAACGCCCATATTCGAGGGACATGACTATTTTCCGAAAGGCAACAAAGCGGGATTACCCTAAGGGTGCTAGTGTGTAAGTGTGTTTGATTTACATGCATTTTGTCTTGATTAGGGTTATCTATTTGTTGATTTTTATCTTTCAATACAAATCCAAATTACTAGTATTTAAATGAAAGCGATAAATTGCGAAAAGTAAATATTCTATGCTATTACAATCATTAGGGGGATGGGGTGTACAAATTTACAAATGGGGATTCCAAAAAATTAAAGTCCTAATTATCTATTACAACCATATTGAAATAATGTACAAGAATTGAAATGGACTTGTTTTGTTCTTGTTAAGAAAAGAAATAAATTGGCTTAAGAAAATATTTTTGATAATTTGGTTTAAAAAGAGATAAAATAAAGTATGTAAATATAAAAATAATGTTTTTTTTTGGTATTTTTGGTTATTTAAAAGCTTAAAATAATATAAATAAGAGAAAAAGGAGTCAAAATCAGCGCATTGCTGAAACGAGAAGGAACAAAAGTTCTGACTCTGATACACTGCAAAAGAGAAAATGGTAGTAGGAAAGCAGAGGGTCAGAAGTTCTGGGCCTGGGTACACCAAGTTCTGAGGTTACCGGGAATAAAGGAAAACCTAGAAGTTCTGATTGTTGAGGGGGTTCAGAAGCTATACTATAGCTGGGAACCTAAAAGTTCTTATATCACTGGCAAGTCAGAAGTTGTGGCTATTTGAGAGAGTGAGGTGATAATGCTGTTGAGTAAGGTTGTCTAGAAGTTATGATTTAGGAATATTGTTTGACATATAAATGGGTGAAAATGTCATTAAATAAACCTAAAAAAGATGCTTCTGGGACTAGAACCCAGGATCCTTAGCACTAATGTCTTATGCGCACACACTGTCTACCACTGGGGTGGCTGTACATCCGGTATCAAAAGCAAAAGCATAAATATGTATCACAAAGTAAACTCTGATGATGAATTTCCTCTCCTTCTCCATGCCAGTCAGAGTAACCGCAACTTAGTCATTTCTCAACAAAACAGAAAACACAAACATAGCAATTATGGCAGGTTTCATCATGGTTTCAGAAATATAAGGTATCATAACTGTACATCAGAAGCAAGTATGAATTTTGCTAATCCTAAATCTGAATCCTAATTTCCTCAAGAAGTTCTGAACTGTAATTCTCTCTACTTAGGTAAAAATACATGCAATCTGTGAATATGTACAAAATCAAATCCAGGATGTCTACATTGTATTTTGAACATGCAAATATAACAATGCCTAAGTAATATGATGAGAGTCAGCAGAAGCTTACCTTGCAGCTAGAAAAGGTCCTGTGAACTGGAGCCTGGTTCTGACTACTTATAATGTTCTGATCAGCTTCTTCACTTGCTCAGCAGACGGTAACAACCTTTAACTTGGGTTATGAATGGTGTATGGATGATTTGGTCAAAAAACATTTGAGGGAAATTGGAGTTTGAATGCAAGAATAAAAAACTAACAAGTTTTGTATTTGTGTTTGCAGTTTCGGATTCCTGGAATTTTTAGCAAGGTTTTAAAGCTTGTTCTTTTCAGTTTTATCCACCGGCCCTCACAGTTGCAAAATGAATTTCAATTTATAGGCAGGAACTTTGTAGCTTGGAGAAGTCAAAAGTACCAACATCATGCTAGTGTGCTGGCTTGTTCTTGAAGCAAGATAAACAAGTATGGTGGTTAGCAGCTTTTATCCGTGCCTAAGCTGGATTTGTAAGCATGAATTAAGTAAAAGTAAACTCAAAAGCAAAATCAAAGCATGGGCCCAACATACTCTTGTACAAAAGTTTGCTTTTTCAAGGACAATAATGTACTTTTATGCCACACGTGGGGAAATCCTTTGGATAAAAACTCAAAAGTGGTTGTGAGCATTAAATGATGATTAGATTTATCAAACCAGAAATCCTGCTCTATGAGGTTATGCATCTTAACTTAATTCTGGGTCAGAAGTTCAGCATCAGCGCAACTTAGAACAAACATCCAACTTCTGATCCTTGAATCTCTTTGCTCCAGTATGTTATGAGTGAGTTCTCAGACTTTCCAGAAAGCTTATGGCATGCTTTGTAAGCCCTCTTTGAATTACTCTTGCAACTTCTGACTGAACCTACATTAAAACTGGCCCAGAAGTTGTAGACAACTTCTGACTTAAAAATGCTCAGAATTTACTAAGTGCCTAAGTTTCAGAGACATGTCTTTGAAGACGTACAACTTGAAATCCCAACACTTCTAGAGGAACTTCTGTTCTGCAATGTTTTGGGTCTCATTGAGATATAAAACTCTTGATTTAGAAGTTCTTCCAGAATCAGCTTGCATCATGGTGATAATCTGGCCAGAAGTTATGAGCTTGTCATATTTCTTAAACACTTAGAAAAATTCTAAGTATTTAGAATTTTGACCTTTT